GCGCGAGTGATCATGCTCTTCTGAAGTTTACTATACAGCTGGAAAGGAGCAGCCAAGCATACTAGGACTCAATTTCTTGACTTTAAGAAAGCCGACTTCATAAAACTTAGGGAAGTGCTGGGTGAGATCCCATGGACAGTAATACTAAAAGGAAAGGGAGTTCATGATGGCTGGGAGTTTGTTAAGAGGGAGATAGTAAAAGCACAACGTCAGGCAATACCAATGAGACGGAAACATGGAAGGTGCCTAAAGAAGCCAGGGTGGCTATCTAAAGAACTTTTAACTGAGTTAAGATTAAAAAGGATGTGTACAAAAATGGAAAGGGGGGAAACCACCAAAGAGGAATTCAAACAAATAGCCAGCACGTGTAGACACAAAGTCAGAAAAGCTAAAGCACAGAATGAACTCAGGCTTGCTAGAGAGGTTAAAAGCAACAAAAACGGCTTTTATGGGTATGTCCGTAGCAAAAGGAAGAACAAAGAAACAGTGGGGTCACTCAGAGGAGAAGATGGTGAAATGCAAACAGGGGACACAGAAAGGGCTGAACTCCTCAATGCCTTCTTTGCCTCAGTCTTCTCCGATAAAGAAAACAATGCCCGACCTGAAGAATTTGGAGCAAATGATTCAGCAAAGGAAACACAGCTCAGAATAACTAAGGAGATAGTACAAGAATACTTGGCTAGTTTAGATGTATTCAAGTCTCCAGGGCCAGATGAACTGCATCCAAGAGTATTAAAAGAACTGGCAGATGTGATCTCAGAACCATTGGCAGTCATCTTTGAGAATTCCTGGAGAACAGGCGAAGTCCCGGCAGACTGGAGGAGGGCAAATGTTGTCCCTATTTTCAAAAAGGGGAAAAGAGAGGACCCAAATAATTACCGCCCAGTCAGTCTGACATCAATACCAGGGAAGATTCTGGAGCAGATCATTAAGCAAACAGTCTGTGAGCACCTAGAAAGGAATGCTGTGATCACCAATAGTCAGCATGGATTTCTGAAAAATAAGTCATGTCAGACTAACCTGATCTCGTTTTTGACAGAATTACAAGCCTGGTAGATGAAGGAACGCAGTGGATGTAGCCTACCTTGATTTCAGCAAGGCATTTGACAAGGTGCCCCATGATATTCTTGTAAAGAAGCTGGTAAAATGCGGTCTTGACTATGCTACCACTCAGTGGATTTGTAACTGGCTGACTGACCGAACCCAAAGGGTGCTCATCAATGGTTCCTCTTCATCCTGGAGAAGAGTGACTAGTGGGTTGCCACAGGGTTCTGTCTTGGGCCCGGTCTTATTCAACATCTTTATCAACAACTTGGATGATGGACTCAAGGGCATCCTGATCAAATTTGCAAATGACACCAAACTGGGAGGGGTGGCTAACACCCCAGAGGACAGGATCACACTTCAAAATGACCTTGACAGATTAGAGAACTGGGCCAAAACAAACAAGATGAATTTTAACAGGAGAAATGTAAGTATTGCACTTGGGCAAAAAAAATGAGAGGCACAAATATAAGATGGGTGACACCTGGCTTGAGAGCAGTACATGTGAAAAGGATCTAGGAGTCTTGGTTGACCACAAACTTGACATGAGCCAACAGCGTGACGCGGCAGCTAAAAAGCCAATGCAATTCTGGGCTGCATCAATAGGAGTATAGCATCTAGATCAAGGGAAGTAATAGTGCCACTGTATTCTGCTCTGGTCAGACCTCACCTGGAGTACTGTGTCCAGTTCTGGGCACCACAGTTCAAGAAGGACACTGACAAACTGGAACGTGTCCAGAGGAGGGCAACCAAAATGGTCAAAGGCCTGGAAACGATGCCTTATGAGGAACGGCTAAGGGAGCTGGGCATGTTTAGCCTGGAGAAGAGGAGGTTAAGGGGTGATATGATAGCCATGTTCAAATATATAAAAGGATGTCACATAGAGGAGGGAGAAAGGTTGTTTTCTGCTGCTCCAGAGAAGCGGACACGGAGCAATGGATCCAAACTACAAGAAAGAAGATTCCACCTAAACATTAGGAAGAACTTCCTGACAGTAAGAGCTGTTCGACAGTGGAATTTGCTGCCAAGGAGTGTGGTGGAGTCCCTTCTTTGGAGGTCTTTAAGCAGAGGCTTGACAACCATATGTCAGGAGTGCTCTGATGGTGTTTCCTGCTTGGCAGGGGGTTGGACTCGATGGCCCTTGTGGTCTCTTCCAACTCTATGATTCTATGATTCTAAGAAAAACACAAATATTGTTTTCAAATATCTTTTTTTTTTGTCCAAACATTAATCCAGAGGCAAAAAAAGAAAGAGGGAAAAGAAAGAAAGAAAGAAAGAAAGAAAGAAAGAAAGAAAGAGGAAAAGATAAATTAAAAAGGCAGTGCTTTTTTTCTGGGGGGGACACAGGGGTAAGCAGACCCCTAAACATTTTGTGAATCTAAGTTTGGCCTCATTGAGGGGCAGTATTTCAACATGAGTAGGAAAATGAGAGTACACCGAAACATTTTTTTTTTTAGGAAAAAAGCATGGAAAAAAAGGAACAGAAAAGGAATTAAAAGATAGAAAAACGAGGGGTGGGGGAGAAACTAATAAGCTTAAGAACTTCCAATTCTTTCTCTGTCTGCTAGATATAAACATTATTCACTTCATCCGCTCCAGTGTAACACCGAATAAAGACACTTTCCACAAGCCATTATCTTCAGTTCTCAAATCCGAGTGTCATTCTTTTTCACGCAAATTATTCATTATTTGTTTTCCCACTGCCACAGGATGTAGTGATGGCAGCCAACTTGGGTGGCTTTAAGAGGGGGTTAACACAAATTCGTGGAGGATGAAGCTCTCAAGAGCGACCAGCTTTGATGGCTGAGTTGTACCTCAGCCGTCAGAGGCCGCAGAATCCCAGTTTCTGGGGAATCCCAGTTTCTGAGGCGCCTGACTGATCCTTGTGAGGCAGGATGCTGCCCAGATGCCACCTTTGACATGATCTGGCGGAGCTCTCCTTACATCCTTATGTAAGAAGTGGGAAGAGCAGCCAACAAGACAGCGCAGGTTGAGGAGGAAATAAGGAAGATGCAAAACTGGTCGGTCTCTAGGTCAGTGCGCCTGGTCCTCAGTGTCATGCTCCCTGTTTTTGGCAAACTGCATGTTTGCATGTTTCCCCTTCCCAGTAGCTTTTCCCAGAACCGAGAGGAAACAAGTCACAACGCCTCAGATCAGCTGTATCCAGTGGATAAATATTTATTCTAGGTGCAAAACACGGGACCTGACTCACAGGATGCCAGGGACGTGTGAGTATTGGGCATGCGTTTCCCCATTCGAGACCTATTGAGATAAGGAGGCATTTTCCTCATGGAAGAAACGAAAACACACACCCAAGAAATCACATGTTTTGAGGACTGAGGTAAGCGGAACTATTGGTATAGCTGTAGGATCGCTTGTCTCGTGACTGTGAAGTGTATTTCTGGAAGGTCTCCCGTGCGTGCTCTGAGGCCACACATCTCTTTGTCCAGGATCTGGTAAGCAAGAGGCATTGTCTCAGTGCAAGGACAACAATCCAGTCAGACAAATGCACTCGAAGGTGCAGGTCAAGGCCAGCACCTGGGGAGAGGTGTGGCCAAGTGAGAGTCCCAAGGCCAGACATATAGGCCAGAACCAAAAAGAGATTGCACACAAACACACACTTATAGATTAAAAAAATTCCATACAGTAGCACCTTAGAGACCAACTACCGTATATTTCGCTCCATAAGACACACCTAGTTTTTAGAGGGGGAATGCAAGAAAAAAAATATATTCTTTAACGGGAGCGCTGAGCAGAGCCTGTATGCATACAGGCTCTGCTCAGCGCTCCCTTTTACGAGCCGCGCGGAGCGTGTGTGCTGCTCTTGGGGGCTTTTCCCCAAGGAGGGAGAAGGGCTTTTCCTTGAGGTGGGGGAAGGGACTGAGGGGCTATCCCAGAAGCCAGAACAGCAAGAGAGAGCGCTGCCTCTCGCTGTTCTGGCTTGGATAGCTGCGCAAGCCTCCTCAGGGCAGCGGGATGAAGGTTCCCGCTGCCCTGAGGAGGCTTCACGCAGCTAAGCCAGAGCTAGAACAGCAAGAGGAAGCGCTGCACAGCGCTCCTCTTGCTGTTCTGGCTTCTGGGATAGCTACACAGCCTGCACTCGCTCCATAAGACGCACACACATTTCCCCTTACTTTTTAGGAGGGAAAAAGTGCGTCTTATAGAGCGAAAAATACGGTAGGTTTGTTATTCGTATGAGCTTTCGTGTGCATGCACAATTCTTCAGATATCTGAAGAAGTATCTGAAGAAGGGTGCATGCACACAAAAGCTCATACTAATAACAAACTTAGTTGGTCTCTAAGGTGCTACTGGAAGGATTTTGTTTGTTTGTTTGTTTCGACTATGGCAGACCAACACGGCTACCTGCCTGTAACTACTCTTATAGATTGTTATACAGGTTTTTTTTGGGGGGGGGGGGGCTAAACCCTATAAATTAATAAATGGTAGGATTTTTATTATTTGGGATGTGAAGGGAGAAAACAAGCTGCAGAGGAATTCTTGAGCTAGCCTTTGCAAAACGTAAAGGGACACGTGTGGCGCAGTGGTCTAAACTACTGAGCCTCTTGGGCTTGCTGATCGGAAGGTCTCCGATGAGCGGTCTGAATCCCCACAACAGAATGAGCTCCCGTTGCTCTGTCCCAGCTCCTGCCAACCTAGCAGTTTGAAAGCACACCAGTGCAAGTAGATAAATGGGTACAGCTGTGGTGGGAAGGTAAATGGCGTTTCCGTGTGCTCTGGCACTTGTCACGGTCCTCTGTGCACTAGTAGTGGTTTAGTCATGCTGGCCACATGACCCGGAAAGATGTCTGTGGACAAAAACCCATCAAGTTGTCTTGATTCTCTTCAACAGTATAATTCAGGGTGGAGAAATCACAGAAGCATAGGATTGTAGAGTTGGAAGGGACCACGAGGGTCATCTACACCACGTCCAATTGCCTGCAATGCAGGAATCTTTTGCCCAACATGGGGTGCAAAACCATGACCCTGAGATTAAGAGTCTCATGCTCTACCGACTGAACTATCCAAGCTCAGCTCATTTTGTTGTTGCCATGTTAAACAACTGGGCACCAGAAATAACTGCTGATCACCCATGGATCTACCAGTAGATCTCAAACCTGCCTTCTACCCAGTGCCGGATTTACGCATAAGCTGAACAAACTATAGTTTAGGGCCCCACTCTGAACAAACTATAGTTTAGGGCCCCACTCTCTTGGGGGCCCCCAAAAAATTAAAGGAAAAAAAACAACTGGATGTACATTTCCAAAATATAAGATAAAAAAGAAATAAAATAAAACCTACATACAGCAACAGTGTTTTGTGTTGTGTATGGACCTATTAGGTCCATAAATTACTATACAGCATATATTCAACACAAAAAACAGCGACAATTTGTTGTTGACAAAGGACAGCTGGACATACAAAGGGCCCTTCAGTAGCTTAGGGCCTCATCAAACCTAAATCCGGCCCTGCTTCTACCAGCAAGTGAGCCTGCTCCCCTGAGGTACACTGTTTCATTGCCAGGACTGAAGTACGATGCAGATGGAAATGGGGGAGTGGGGCCATCTTGTCCTTTGCCTCAGGCGGCAAAACATCTTGAGGGGCCCAGCTCCCATTGATTGCAATGGGTTTTGCATGACTTCTTATGTGCTTAGGAGCACAGTCTTAACAGATCAGGGTCTTGGCTGGCAGTGAAAGCCCAGAGTCTTGCTATTCTTCTGAGCTCATGATGAAGGCCATTTGGGGAAATAAAAACGCATGGATCATGTTGGGAAATAAACAGAACATTTTGCCCAAAACTGGTGGAAGAGGAAGAGCGTACAGTATTATCTCCCAACCCTACCTTCTCCCTAATTGCTTGGTCTGGAAAGTCCCTTCCAAAGGAGAATGGACTTGGAAGCAATTGTTCTTGATTCCCAGAAAGGTAATCGGGAAATGGACTTTGAATAAACTCTGCATTATACCGTATATACAAACACACACGAGTCCCCATGGAGGTAGGAAAACTACCTACAGTCACATTTCTGATTCCTGAGAACATCAGTTTCCCCACCACAGACCTCCAGTTCCAAGTAGCCTTAACAAAGTACAGTTCCCAGGATTCTCTGGGGGGAGGTCATGTGCTTTAAATGTGCACTAGATGCTCTTTAAATGTATGGTTTGCAGGGTGGATTTTATTTAAATCAAATCGATTTAAATCACTAGTCAGTAAAACTTGATTTAATTTCCCCCCACAGAAAGACTCATTCTTGCTGGTATAATCTTAATATTAACAACCAGATGAAGGTTTCATTTTTGGAACAATAAATTTTCAGAATAGTTTTTACAGTTATATCAAAAATTACTGATATAAAAAAATGTTTAGGGGTACTCTCATTTTCCTACTCATATTGAAATACTGCCCCCCAATGAGGCCAAACTTAGTTTCACAAAATGTTTAGGGGTATGCGTACTCCTGCGTCCCCCTAGAAAAAATAAGCACTGCATAGACAGATAATTATGAAACTATCGTGAGGTTTAATAAGTTAACCGTTTATACAGTTGTACCTTGGTTTTCGAACAGAATACATTCTGGGAGTCTGTCTGACTCCCGGAACCCCAAGGTGTGGCTTCCTATTGGCTGCAGGAGCATCCTGTAGCCAATCAGAAGCCTCGGAAGCCACGCCAGACACTCGGCTTCTGAAAATCGTTCAAAAACTAGAACACTCACTTCTGGTTTTCGATCGTTCAGGAGCTGAAACATACGTGTTCCAAGGCATTCAGCAAGCAAGGTACGGCTGTGTCTGGACAACTTTTCTGTTGTACTTTATTGGAAGGAGAAAAATAATCATTTCCTTAATAACAATTTAAACCATTTGTTTAACTAAAACAATAGCATTATAGCATATGCATCCATGTTTGTTAACTGATGTGGTTAAACAATTTTTAAAAACAACTTAGACTGAGTTTTAGCAAACATTCCGGCCACCGGGCCTTGCATTTATTTGTTGCAGATTTTGCATGTTGAACGCATGCCTGCCTTACCCATAGGAAGAGGAACGTCATTAAAATATTCCCAAGCTGGGTCTCTTTTGCAGCCTACTGCCGTTACAGGTTTTCTCCTCCAGGGAGAGAATATTGTGATAAATCTCAGGCTATATACACACACAAATGTAATGGAATCTCAGAGGGGCTATATCTCCCAGCAGCCCTGGCTTTGGTACCTCGGGTTAAGTACTTAATTCGTTCCGGAGGTCCGTTCTTAACCTGAAACAGTTCTTAACCTGAAGCACCACTTTAGCTAATGGGGCCTCCTGCTGCTGCCATGCCGCCGGGGCACAATTTCTGTTCTCATCCTGAAGCAAAGTTCTTAACCTGAAGCACTATTTCTGAGTTAGCAGAGTCTGTAACCTGAAGCGTATGTAACCCGAGGTACCACTGTACTGTGGCAACGTGCTCAGGGAAGCCATTTTGAGAGTTAAAATGTTAAGCAAGGAAGCCATTTTGTTGATCTAGGCCAGGCCCCCGTATCCAGTACGTACATACACTCAGACACCCACTTCCCAGAGACACACAGAGATAGGCTGATAAGGATTACTAAATAAAGACATGTAATGTCCAACTCCTCATGCCTTATCTCTAGGCAGAACCTAATTATCTATCTGAGTATGTGCATGCTGTAACATTTGATTGGATAAAGATTTGATTCAAGAATGTATAAATAGAATCCTCCCCTGTTGGGAGGGGCCGGACTTTGCAACTTATTCCTCCTTGCCATTGATTGCTGCCGGCAAACAATTAAAACTTTCTTGCTTTATCGCCCTGTTTGCTGCATGGTCATTTGACTGGCCTACCCAATTGCTGCAATACTGTTGGTAGGCCTAGGCTGGAACAGGTTTGCAGAATGAACAGGCCGAGTGGAAGCATGCTGGTGGAAAGCTGGAAAAGGGGAACCAAGGCCTGGAGCAGAGAAATTCAGGGATTCCTGCTGCAGGAGATAGAGACTTTATTGTTTGGACAATGTCAGGCCAGCCCTGGGAAGAAGGGCCTGGAACCAGTGAACTCTTTATTAGTTGACTGGCAAGTACTTCAAGGTATCAGCAAGGACTTACAGATCCCAGTTACTATTTCCTCCACCACCCTTTTTAGATTTGCTTCTACATTCAGGTGCCTATTCTGTACAGCTAAGTATTACTGCAGTTGTTGGAACTCAGTGGTATTGGGAAGAGGTTGCCAGCCCTGAAGTGCCTTCAGCACTTGCCTCAGGTTTTGAGTTGCACAGACATGCAACCGACTTGCGCAATTATTACGCAAAGATCCCAAGATCTGCTCACAAGGCTGCACTTTCATTTTTACTGCTTCACACTTAGCTACTTGTGCAGATCTATTCCACTCCAAACAATCTAGTCATTAAACCTCTTGGAACTTAAGCATTTAAGCTTTTAATGGGAAGCTTTTAATGTTTGACGGACTATTTAATTTTAATATTTTGTTGGAAGCCGCCGAGGGTGGCTGGGGAAGCCCAGCCAGATGGGCGGGGTATAAATAATAAATTATTATTATTATTATTAATATGTAAGGGGTTGGTTCTGTGTATATAAATTTGCAAACAATGGGATTGAGGTTTTTTCCTCAACTGTATGTTTATTTTATAACATTTTTCCCGTGAAGAAAAGGCATGTTATCTCTGCAGACACAAATTCACACTTTTGAGAACTGCAAAAACAAGCATCTTCTCGTAAGAAAAACTGCCCCAAATAATCTTACAGAAACCTCTGGAAGAGCATGGCATTGTGAATGCATTAATGGAACTCATTTACCAAAAAATTTAAATATTGCATATAAAGCCTTATGCTACATAATTAAAAATAAATCTTTATTTCCTGATGAATAGCCTTTGGACTATAATGTAACTTAAATAGAAAACTATATTTAGAAAGGTTTTACCTTCAAAAGCATTTTATTTTTAAAAATGCAATTTAAATTTTAAAAATCTGATTTAGATTTTTTAAAAATCCGATTTTAAAATTGATTTTTATCCATCCTGATGGTGTGACTCTCATACTAGAGAGGGAGAAAATCTTTTCTCTATTCCACTTTCTGAACATTGACCCTCCAATTGTCCCCATTTTCCAGGGACAGTCCCGGATTTACAGAAGCTGTCACGGATTCTGATTTGATCCTGGAATGTCCTGTTTTTCCTTAGGATCGGTGAAATGTTGGAAGGTATAGTAGGATGTCCCTATTTTCACTGGAGGGTATGAAATTAAGTGACACCCCACCCCCGAGTCAAGGAGATAAGTAGCTATACAACTTTAATAAAATATCTGAAGGCAGCCTTATATAGGGAAGTTTTAAAAAATGTTTTATTATGTTTTTATATATGTTGGAAGCTGTCTAGACAACCCACTCAGAAGGGTGGGATATTATTATTATTATTATTATTGAATAGGACATCCTATTTTCATAGGAGAAACATTGGAGGGCCGTGACACACTTCGAATGTGAGACAGGACTAAGACCCATTGCCCCCCCCCCACTTCCCTCAGGAGGCCCAATCGTTTATGGGCTCCAGGTGACTGACAGGGCCAACAGGCCAGTGGGTACAAAAGGAAACAGGAAGCCTCAACATCCGGCTTATTCAAAGCTACAGGGAGGCGGTGCTCTGTAGCTTGAGTGGCAGTGGGGCATCTTGAGTGGCAGCGAGTGGAGGAGGTGCTTACATGGATTTTGACCTATTGGAGAATGGCAGGGGTGGGGGGGGGACCAATCAGGGAGGTGCGTTTGCTCAACCTCAAGCTCCACCCTCCGTTGGAGAAATGGAGGCAGATACATCATGGGGCCGATTTGCTCTAGTTTCCACCAAAGTCACCTTGGGAGCTCTGCTTAACATCCAGAAATAAAGACAATTGGGGGTTCTTTTCAAGGTGCAAACAGAACAGGGGGCACTTTGCCCCCCTAAGAATCAAATGCTACCTGGAAAGCTGTATTTGGGCCCTGGAGTTGAGATTCCCAGGTCCTGCAATAAAATTAGGAAGCAGGACAATGAATAAGGAGATTATCATGATCTTGGAGAATGCTAGGAGGGGATCTAACCTTTCTTCAGGTCCTTCCTTGCTTCTCCTGTTGCAGTTTTGCATCAGTTTCCCAGCCACCTGATGCTCGTACAGTGGTACCTCTGATTACGTACTTAATTTGTTCCAGAGGTCCGTTCTTAACCTGAAACAGTTCTTAACCTGAAGCACCACTTTAGCTAATGGGGTCTCCTGCTGCTGCTGCGCTGCTGGAGCACGATTTCTGTTCTCATCCCGAAGCAAAGTTCTTAACCCGAGGTACTATTTCTGGGTTAGCGGAGTCTGTAACCTGAAGTGTATTTAACCCGAGGTACCACTATATTGAAATGCGGGTGGCGCTGTGGGTTAAACCACAGAGCCTAGGACTCGCCGATCAGAAGGTCGGTGGTTCGAATCCCCACGACGGGGTGAGCTCCCGTTGCTCGGTCCCTGTTCCTGCCAACCTAGCAGTTCGAAAGCACGTCAAAGTGCAAGTAGATAAATAGGTACCTCTCCGGCGGGAAGGTAAACGGCGTTTCCGTGCGCTGCTCTGGTTCGCCAGAAGCGGCTTAGTCATGCTGGCCACATGACCCGGAAACTGTACACCGGTTCCCTCAGCCAGTAAAGCGAGATGAACGCCGCAACCCCAGAGTTGGCCACAACTGGACCTAATGGTCAGGGGTCCCTTTACCTTTACCACTATATTTGAGAAAACAAAAGAGTGGGCAGCCTTACCCTGCACCTCCCAGAAGCCCCAAGCAATATCTGTTTACTCTTTGCTTCCAGGATCCCGGAGGGCCCCGATTCCTCTCTTCGTTTTCTCGGTTCTGCAGTCTCAGATGCGGAGAAGCTTTTCCCTGAATTCACAGCCTGAGCTATTGCCGGTTTCAGAAAACTGCAATAGGTGAACAGTATATGAGATGCATTTTGGAGACATGCACCCAGGCTTCCATGAGGAATGATGAAGCCCCAGCCTAGTCTGAAGGCGAACCACCTCCTGCCCAGGTAACCATGGTGAGTGAGGAGATGCATGAGGTGTCCAGCGGGAGGGTGGGCAGGGGATGGGATTTGGGGGGTGTTATGTGGAAGGAAGGCTTGTGGGTCTGGCCAAGAGGATGGCAGGCATTTAAAATGAAATTAGAGAGAGAGAGAGAGAGAGAGAGAATATAATATAAATAATAAATTTATTGTTACGCTTTTAGTGGACATCTGAAGGCAGCTTTGTTCAGCAAGGTTTTTAATGGTTGATGTTTTATAATTGTAAAAATATTTTGTGGGGAGCCGCCACCCAGAGTGACTTGGGCAACCCAGTCAGATAGGTTGGGGATAATTCAGGCTGAAATTCCCAGCTGTCAGAAAAGGTTATTTTTGTGTGCCACTACTGCGGCCCGTGTTTTGTTAGCCCCAAAATGGAAAATGTGTGAGGTCCCAGCCAAAGAAGAATGGCAACTTAAGTTGACAGAATATGCGCAGCTTGCAGACTTAACATATAGAGCAAGAAGAACATACATTTAGAGAAGATTGGAAAATGTTTATTGAATATATGGGAAATAACTACGCACAGCTGAAAACGCTGACAGCATTAAGATAAATTCAACAGTGTAGATAAGTTATAATGGATGTAATAACGGAATACTGACTGGTATAGTTTCTGTAAAATATGCAGGGATTTATGATACGCAAAATGAACCATGGAAAGAGAAGAATGGAAGTCACTGGGGTGTAAAAACGAGTATACTACTTTAAATTGTAAAACAGAAAATTTAATAAAAATTATATATACAAGGTGGGTTGCATATAAATAATTAAATCATTATGTTAGAAAATATTATTATTAAATTGCCAATTCCAGTTGATATTATTATTATTATTATTATTATTATTATTATTTTATACCCCACCCATCTGGCTGGGTTTCCCCAGCCACTCTGGGCGGCTTTCAACAAAATATTAAAATACAGTAATGCATCAAACATTAAAAGCTTCCCTAAATTGAAGCCTGGGCCTGGAATTTGGGACTGGAACAGTCCTCCTGGTGTCCGCAGGGAACTTAACTTTTCTCTTTTGCTCTCAGGGCCCTCTCAGGACATTAACTTTTCTCTTTTGCTCTTAGGTCTCTCTCCGGACATTATAGGAAATTGGGCCGTTTTTGAAGAGCATAAGAGCATGGTAACAGTGGCACTTGGAAGCCATCTTCAGGCTGCAGGAGACTGGTTTTTCTGCTTGCATGGAAACGGTCTTCACAAATCACCTGTCAGTCTTATGCTTAGGGGTCTTTTCTCTGTGACGCCCTGATCACTAGGAACTTGTCCCTGGTGTCAGAAGTGTGTTGATGGCATCAGGGGTTGCTTCACCTAAGGAGAGCCTTGCAGAGAGAAACTTACCACCTGGCACCCACCATACACTCCTTGGGCCCGGCCCCTCTTGGCAGGCAAGCTGAGCGTCATCATACCACTTTTCTGGTGACAGACAAAGCCACTTCTGCCTAAGGAGGTGGTGGAGTTGTGGGCTTCACGACCTTTCCACGTGCACGGCGGGCGGAGCCAGCACTGTGTGATTGAGGGGATTCCCTGCTGCGTCATCCCCTGGCGGGCCAATCAGCTGGCTCGGGGGCGTGGCCTGCCCTATTTAAGGCAGGACGCGGCCGGGGATCTCCCTCTTTGCCGCCCACCAGTGAGCCCCCGGATTCTGAGCTGCTGCTTCCTCCCACAGGACCTGAGCGGTTACACAAGCAGCAAAATCAGGGAAGAAATTGTTCAGGAAGTTGGAAACCCCTGTAGGCTGCAGGCACAATATGGGCAACCCAAAGGCAGACATTTTGCCTTTATTTATTTGGAATCCTTGCATCTCACTTTATAGCTCCGAGAGGCTATAAACTGGCTTACGAAAGATACTCCCAGTAGTATCAGGAACACAAATAATGATAGTGCCAGGATTATTCCGGTGGCGTTTCGTGCCATCTTTCTTGGTGTTGTTCTTCAACCTCAGCCTACTAGGCCTCGGGGCCTATTGAGGACAGCGGTGGAGCTAACCTCTTGGGCACCTGGAGTGGCACACATGCTGATTGGGGTCTGATCGGCGCAGTGGTGATCCACCCGGGAGGATTTTGTCACCCCCTTTTGGATGACACCCGGGGTAGGCCACCCCCCCCCTCCTACACACCTGGGGGTGGGTGGGTAAGGGATTGGGGCCAAGCAGATGGATCTCATTCAGACTATGAAAGAGAGAAGTCTTTCTTCACGTCCTTACTATGGCTTGGTTATGTGTCAGTGTTTCCTTACACCCACTATTTGGGGAGGCATTATTTGCAAAAGCTTGCCCTGGAAGACCTTTGCAATGACACTTGAAGCCCTCTTCAAACTGAGGTATATTGTTTTTATGCATATCTTTTTAATGTTATAAAGAAAATTTGTTCCAATGTTGCATTTGTCCTTCCTTATGATCTCTGTTGTGTTCGTTAGATGGTGATGCTTTGGGTGGCTGTGGCTGCAGAACGAAGGGCTGGAAAGGAGCTGGATAAATGTTTGTTCCCGAAAATACAATGGTACCTCGGGTTAAGTACTTAATTCGATCCAGAGGTCTTAGCCTGAAACTGTTCTTAACCTGAAGCACCACTTTAGCTAATGGGGCCTCCGCGCTGCCGGAGCACAATTTCTGTTCTCATCCTGAAGCAAAGTTCTTAACCTGAAGCACTATTTCTCGGTTAGCGGAGTCTGTAACCTGAAGCGTATGTAACCTGAGGTACCACTGTAACTCTGTTTGGCGGCTGTGGGTCCTTGTCCACCAGGGGCTGCTGCAGCCTCCAAAATGAATGAGATGCTCAAATGGTGGGACAAAACTTTTGTAACCTTTGATAGCTCTTTTACGAACCTTTCCCAGTTCTGCAATATACCCTTTTGAGGTGCAGCAGCCAGAAAATTACACAGCATTCCAAGTGTGGGCACACCATGGATTGGTATAGAGACGTTATGGTATCAACAGTTTTATTTGCAACCCCTTTCCGAAGGATCCTCAGCATGGAGACCAGCTTTTTCACAGCTGTATTCAGCTACCATAGATAGCAGTTGCTGGCCAAAGATCTCCAGAGTTCCTTTTAAGAAAAAATGAAACCTGTCTCGCAAACTCTTTAAGCTCCTATGCTTCACAAGAAGCCAAAAAGTTAGGAACACCCCACCCCGATTCTCTTAGACCTTTTGATCAGTTCTAAATACCATAGCAAGAAGTCCCAGTGTTACTCCAGCCCTCCACTAGAACTCAGATATTCACACAAAAGTATCTTTAAGCTTCTTGAGTTTGATAAAAGCAGGGATTTGTGTAACTCAAAACTTATTCTGCTTTTCCTGCTCAGCGGCGAAGGTACCTGGGTGACCTTGGACCAGCCATGGTCTTTTAGCAAGACCAACCTCAGGACAAAATGGGGAGGGAGAGAACTAGGTATCCCACCTTGAGCTCCTTGAAGGAAAGGTGCAACATAGATAAAATAAATAAGTAAATATTCGTCAACCATTCCCTCCTAGCTACATAGATCAAGACCATTCCATCTCCATCCAAGGTAATATTGAGGCTAGGAAGTGAGCAATAGTCCTAACGGAGCTGGCCTGGGGAAAGGAGAAAGGTCTGCTTATGGAAAGTAACTGGCACTTACCAAGCAACGGTCAGCAGGACAGAATGAGAGGCAAGGAAAGGTTATGTTGTGATCCACCTCTGAATTACCTGGTGCAATTTGCCAGGAAGGCCACTGGGTGGCAGCACATTACAAGAGACCAAAGCAAAATGACAGACATGAAAAGAGGGTGCCCGTTTGTTTGCAAGGGCAAAAGCCCACCTGCAGTTTAGCTGAGCTCTACTTTGGGACCTGTGAGCTTAGTGCCAGGACTGGAAAAACATGAGTGAATAACACAGCATCAATGTGCTCCTGTGTGTGTACAGAGTGCATGCATCCCCACCCCACCCCTGCACAACCTATCCATATACAGTGGTACCTCGGGTTACATACGCTTCAGGTTACATATGCTTCAGGTTACACACTCCGCTAACCCAGAAATAGTGCTTCAGGTTAAGAACTTTGCTTCAGGATAAGAACAGAAATCCGGCTCCAGCGGCGCAGCAGCAGCAGGAGGCCCCATTAGCTAAAGTGGTGCTTCAGGTTAAGAACAGTTTCAGGTTAAGAACAGACCTCTGGAACTAATTAAGTTCATAATCCGAGGTACCGGTGTACAATCTGGCAGGTGCTGGGAATGTCTCAGTGGGCATGAGGCCCAGACATTAAGCTGAAGAGGAGGAGGAATTAACATTGTGCTCTCTCTATGGCACTGTGGCATTTTTCCGTTTCTGAGGGCCCAAATTGAAACACGGTCCTGGGGAGGGGTGCGTGTGCACATCTGCTGTGAACTGCCAAAGCAAGATCTGGGCGATCAGATGCGATAAAAGGGGTGCAGGGCAGATGTTCTCCCCTTTAACACCTGTGTAAAAGCAGGTGTAGGCTTTCCCTAGCTTTCTAGTAGTGTCATGTAGAGGGTAGCCCAAAAGAGGTCTTCTTTTCATAGCAGGAAAACTCGGGAGTTTAATTGAGGTATCCTCCTCCTTTCTGTGGCTAATGAATGAGTTGATAATGAGACTTTCAGGTTTCATTATTGATTGTGACAGATTAGCATCCAGGAAGTGGGGCTGGGCTGGCAGGGATAAGCAGAGGTTGGATAGCTCTTTTCTTTTATTCAAAGGGGTTCCTTCTTCACCTTAAAGGTAAAGGGACCCCTGACGGTTAAGTCCAGTCGTGGACGACTGGGGTTGCGGTGCTCATCTTTATCCGCAGTCAGCTTTTCAGGTCATGTGGCCAGCATGACTAAACCGCTTCTGGCACAACAGAACACCGTGACAGAAACCAGAGTGCATGGAAACGCCGTTTGCCTTCCCGCCACAGCAGTACCTATTTATCTACTTGCACTGGCGTGCTTTCAAACTGCTAGGCTGGCAGGAGCTGGGACAGAGCAACGGGAGCTCATCCCGTTGCGGGGATTCGAACTGCCGGCCTTCTGATTGGCAAGCCCAAGAGGCTTAGTGGTTTAGACCACAGCGCCACCCGCAGCTCCTTTGCAAGATTGTTAGCATTTCTAATTAAACGGGGGGGGGGAGGGGCTCAAACTGCTGGGCTCGATCTCATCAGCCAGAGCTGGCATGGCCAATGAAGTGGATAATGAGTGTGGCAGTCCAGCAACAATGGGAGGGTAACTGGCTCCCCGATCCTAAATTAAATACTAAATGTTGAATTTCAGCTGGCTGAATATATTCCTTTAAAGTTCAATGTGTCTTGCAATAAGCCAAATCTTCATAGTCAGAGGTTGCTAGCATCAGTGAGACGTGCGGCTTACACCCAGGAAACTGCATAGGACTGCAGATAATAATCACAGTGGGTGTTGGGCTATGTACGGGAGGCTGCCAATATGGTGCCCTCCTGGTGCTGCTGGACTACAGTTTTCATCAGCCCTGATCACTGGCACTGAAGGCAGCTGGAGTTCAACGTCTAGATGGCACTTCTCTTCCAGATGTGGGTAATCAACACAGCTACCTGGATTTTCGGATTTGGGGTGCCTGCCTAGCACTGGGAGCTGTCAGGATGAGCTCCTGAAATTCAAAAACGCACCACTGTGCCACCAACTGTGAGATGGCACATTTCCCCCACCAAAGGTTTTAATTAATAAAAATGTTATTTTCCAAAATAATAAAACTTTTAATGAGAATAACTGGGTACAAGTCTGTAGTTATACACATCTCCACACAAAAAAAGACTTTAATTTGTGGTATCATTTCAAGCATATTCTTAATACATTAATGGTTAATATAGCCTCTCCACAGACTAATTTAAGTTTTCCTAGAGCACAGGGGCCTCTAACTTCTATGTCACCCAGTGATGCTAAATGTGCTGACAATTTCGATTGTTTTGTGTTTCTCATTTTTTCCGATCTTTAAATTCAAGTCCTCCCCACTTCCACATCACTTTGCATTATTTTTTTTTTAAATTAAATCCTCCTGGTGTGAATTTCTCCTAATATCCACATTTTTGTTCTGCCTAACATAACACATTTCTGCAAAACAGTTTACTTAAAAAATGCATTTTTGTATGTCATTTTCACATGAACACAAACACACACTTCATTTTTCTATGCATTTATTGAATAGCAAACTCTGAATTTTGAAGGCGAACTATATTTTGGTTCACGTTTTTGTTTCAGCAAGTATGAATCTGTGGCTTTTTCCTTTAAATGAGAACTGAACCCAATTCCTCCCCCATCCCCATTGGCAGCAGAGGATGACTGTGACTAAAAAAACAAGCAGCAGCAAGGGAGCCTAAGTTAGAACAGTCACAATGTGCTTGGAGCAGGGCTGCTATTTAGAGAAGTGGAAATGGAGGCTGCTAGGAAGAGTTCATAGGGGCTTGTCAGCATGGAACGGAAAGGTAAACAGGCCTCAGAGATGCATAGGGACGTGGGGGGACGGCAATGCTTTGAGCCAAAATGCAGAGACCATTGAAACCCAGTGGCAGTTTTTATCCCACAGTTGGGACCACAGTCCCATTAGGATGGAAACTTTCCCCAAAGCACAGGATCATGCAAATCCTGCATATTATTCTGCTTTTTGAGAGTGACCGCCCTGCCAGCATTTGCAGAATGATGTCCGCTAAGAGTACGACTGGCGCCAACGCTACAATCATTCCGGAGCCGGGTCAGATTTTATTTAATTAACCAGGCATTTTCATATTAAAGCTGTTCTTTAGTCTGCTCCACTTGTTTTTCATAGAGCAGGGGTGGGGACCGTGTGACCCACCTCCAAGGTTGCTAGGCAACAACTCCCATCATTCCTTAAGACTGGTGATGGTTGGCTGCGGCTGAGGCAAGTTGCAAGTCCAACAACACCTGGAAGGCCACAGGTGCCCCACTGCTGGTGTAGATGGGAGGATGGCTAAAATCTGTTCGAAAAATAAAATCATAAATACTCCTCGGCCCCGATGCCCTGGGATTCAGCTCCACACTGCCTCTATAAACATGGAGGCTTCATTTAACCATCATGGCCAAGAGCCGCCAGTAGCCTTTTCCTTCATGAATTTGCCCAACCACTTTTAAAGCCACATAGGCCAGTGGCCATCGCCGCTTCTTGAATTCCACCAATCGGGGATGAGGAAGCTGTGGCCTCCGAGGTGTTGGCTGGACTTCAACTCCCATCAGCCCCAGCAAGCAGGGCCAATGGCAATGGATTGTGGGAGATGTGCAGACCGGCATAAGTTACCCCGACCCCAAATGATGCATTTTGCGAAGAAATGTTTCTGTGTGGTGAAGTAGTCCTGAATCGGTGGCCAAGCCATGCCGCTGGGCGACCTTGAGCCCTAAGAATAACGAGAGAGAAAGCGTATCCCCAACCCACTTAATCCAGAGTTTGCATAATAAAACCTTTCTTTCCCTGCACACACACACACAATCCTTTACATCTGTTCTTCTCAGTGCTTTATTTCTGGGGTGACACAAGAGTACGCGTATCACCAAAATTTTTGTGAATCGTTGTACTTTTGTCCATTTGCTGTATTTATTTTTCCCGATTTGAACTATCAAATGGTGATTTTCTTGAGTCAAAATGAGAGTACCCCTAAATTTTAATATATATATTTTTTAAAAGGCACTGGTTCTCCTCAAGAAGCTGACTTGAGTGTCATGAAAGGGCAGAAAATTGTTCTGTTTATTTAATTTTATTGTTGTTGGTTGTTTTTTTTACTGCCAGAGAGGTGTGCGAGACGTCTTCTGCCTCAGCCGCCAAAATGACTTGGCTGGCCTTGAGTACGAGGCACCTTGACTTTGTAGGTGGCGCAGTTCGGTTTTTCCGCCTCAGGCGGCGAAATGTCTTGGACGGCTCTTCTACCTTGCCGTCTTGCAGTCCCCTTTTCCCCATCCCACACTCCTGGTTTTATGCCTGGCTGCATTTCCCCTCCAGCTTCCCCCATAGAGAGAGCGCGCTTCTCCCACCCTGCCGCACACTTGCAGCCACTAACAAAACAGGCTGTCACAAACACTTTCTCCAGTCGCCCCATTCCTAGTTACTCACTGCCCTCTCTCTAACCCCGGTTGCATCCGCACTGTTATACCTCTTTTAACAATCATGGCTGCCCCCCAAAGGATTCTGGGAACAGTCATCTGTTAAGGCTGCTGAGAGCTGCTAGGCCACACTATTCCCCTCAAAGAGCTACTATTACTAGCATTCCCCGGGAAGAGGGATTGATGCCTATGCCACACTAGAAATGGTACCTCTTTGAGAGAAAAAGGAGTCTCCTAATAAGCTCTCAGCATGCTTAACAATCTATAGTTCCCAGGATTCCTTGGGGGAAGCCATAACGGCTAAAAGTGGCACCATAGCGCTTTAAATGGCAAGATCCAGATGTGGTCTGTGATTGTGTTTCATATCCTGCTAGAGTCCCCAGCGCCGCTCCACTTCTCCCTCCCAAAACCAGTCTGCAAAAAAAATGACAATCCTTCCGATCATGTCAAGAACAATTTTTAATTTGGCCAGCCAATAATAATATTATTAATTGTTGTTGTTGTTAATTTATTTATACCCTGCCCATCTGGCTGAATTTCCCCAGCCACTCTGGATGGCTTCCAATTGAGTGTTAAAAACAATACAGCATTAAATATCAAAAACTTCCCTAAACAGGGCTGCCTTCAGATGTCTTTTAAAGATAAGACAGCTACTTATTTCCTTCACATCTGAAGGGAGGGCGTTCCACAGGGCGGGCGCCACTACCGAGAAGGCCCTCAGAAGAAGAATTTGTGTGAAGCTAGGAAGAGATGGTTTCCTTTGGCTAAGGCTGGGCTTAGCAGGCAAGGTACCTATTATTATTATTATTATTATTATTATTATTATTATTATTATCATTATCATCATCATTTTTTGCTCAGAGTGGGGAGGGGGTCACATTTGGAAATCGCATTACCTGTCATGGGTACCACAAAATTTCACAGAAGAAAAAGTGCCAATGCAAATAAAAAATAGGCAAGGCTCCTATACCCCTTTCCCCCACAAAAATCCAGAAGGCAAAACAAAAAAACAAAATAGGCAACTCTCCAAGAGAAGGGCAGGAGGCCTTGATAGGCTCTAAAGATGTCTGAGGATGACACGTTGGCATCAGCAGAGCCAGTGGTTATGAGTGAGCGCAGGGAGACGATGAGGCCGCCTGGCTTTCAGAGCTGGTTGAAGGGAAGATGGTGCTGGAAGATGCTGGCTTAGAGCTGTCATCAGAGTTGGGGAGGGAAGACTCCAAAAAGGACTGTGTCTCTGCACCACCCTCCCTTCCATCCTCTGTACCAGTGGGGGGACACATTTGGCACTGGTACAAGGGTTGGGAGAGAGGGGGGCGAGAGTTTTGCACACTCCCTTCCTTGTGCAGTGGGTGGGAAGAGATGTCCGTCCGAGTGTAATGAGCTGTAGGGGGTTTATAAAAAGAGAGAGAAGAGTTGAGTGTGGTTAGCAAAGTCTGGGCTGCAAGAGAGTAGCTGCAAGGGCAAAACGGAAGAGGCAGAAAATGGCAAGCACTCTTCAAATGCCAACAATCCCGTGGCCCTCCAAATGTTGTTGGACTACAACTCCCACTGTCCCTAATGCTGGCTGGGGCTGATGGGAGTCCAACAGCATGTGGAGGCTTCCATAGCTCTAGTTACAGGTAGGTAGCTGTGTTGGTCTGCCATAGTCGAAACAAACAAACAAACAAATTCCTTCCAGTAGCACCTTAGAGACCAACTAAGTTTGTTATTGGTATGAGCTTTTGTGTGCATGCATCTGAAGAAGGTATCTGAAGAAGTGTGCATGCACACAAAAGCTCATACCAATAACAAACTTGGTTGGTCTCTAAGGTGCTACTGGAAATAATTTTTTTTTGTTTTGAGCATGTGGAGGGTCTATTATTATTATTATTATTATTATTATTACCGGCTCTTCACCCTAAGGTCCCAGGGCAGGTTACAACCAATAAAACACCATATTAAAAGAGTTCAAAACAATTTACAATCACAGAAATAAGGTGGGTCCTAAATATCTAAAGCCAGGTTAAAGAGGTGTGTCTTCAGCATTTGCTGAAAGGTTGTGCAGTGGAGAAGCCAGGCGCACCTCTTTTGGGAGGATTGCCACAGAGAAGGCTCTCTCCCAGGCTTGCTGCTGCCACCCCGAGTTTCTGAGAGTGGTGGGACAACCAAGGGAGACCCCTCTATCGATCTTAGCACCTTAGGGGGGTCTGTATTGGGAGTTGGTCTTTCAGGTATTTGGGGCCAGTCTTGGCTTACAGTATTGGACCTAGGACTGGAGAGGCCTGGATTCAAATCCTCACTCAGGCGTGAGGGTTACTGGCTGACCAGGGTCAAGCCGCTTCTGGACTTCATCTGAACCACTCATTCAGATGACCACCACACACGTGTTACCTAACCTCTATTAAAAGGACGGCTGGGTTTTCTCCACCGAAGGCCTTCACCAAAGGTCAGCGAAGTGTGATGAACTTGGCACAGATGTAATATGGGTAACACTGAGGGGGAAACCGCAAGGTTTCTGTATGAGGTCGGATCGTTTCGCCACAGAGGCATTTAAATTTGGCTCTGAGGGCCAACTTTGTTATTCCAAGAGGATTCTGGGCGAAGGAGATGGACCAGGCGGGGAATGAGAGGAGAATAAGTGTTTGGGAGGTCTTCAGCCGAAACCCTCCTTGATCCAAAATCTCCTGAAGGGCTCACACCGCAATTCAAATCTTAAAGAGTGTGTGTACAAGAGAGCGAGAGAGAGTGTGCAGTTATGCAAAACTGTCTCTATCTCTAGATCTCTGTGTAACCTGGCACTTGGCTGCGAGCACCAGGTGTTTCCTTTAGGGCTACTAAGAGCATATCAGGCGAGGCTTTTGTTTTTTGATTTTTTTCAAAAAACAACAACACCCAGTTTGGAAGATAACTGAAGCACCATCTACCTTCAAGGTGGAGGAACTGAAAGGAAGTTTGTGAGTTATAAATTTGGCAAGAAGAAAGAGAAAGCAGCTCTGCGATTCTGCTTTATTTTTTAATATCGTGCGCTAGGAGTGCTGCTGCAGTCGCCACTTTGGGTTGGAAGCTGTTTGCCTATATATTGCTTATTATGCTTCTTGCGTGTGGTGCTGCAAGGCAGGTCACGGTTTCTTAAAAGAACATTATTGTTATTATTAGTGCTATTTTTCTAGAGAAAGAGGTGCCAGAACTCACCATGAACACCTCCCTTGTTCTCTTATGATAGCAATGGAGCTCGGCTGAGAGGTGCTGGAGCTGAGTTCTGCTGAGTCCTGATTATTATTATTATTAATTAATTTTATATACCGCCGTTCATGATAAGACCCCACAGAATAATCAGGGCAGGTTCACAGAATAAAATCACAACAAAATAACCAAAGCTAATGAACATTTAAAAATAAACCACACAAATTACTAATCCAAAAAGTCAGATTAAGAACAACATGCTTCAATTAAGTTTGTGGGTTTTTTTTAACAACTGTTAAATGCCCAGGCAAAAATTAAACAGGTTTTTTTTAAAATGCTGGTGCTTAAATGCTAAGGAAGTAGGTTGTTCTCTGCCTATCTGTGCAGCAACAGGCTTTAAAAAATCATGAAGATTTCTTCCCTGCAAGAAACTGGTCCTGCACCCTAGAATGCTCTGCTGCCCAGAGGAACATGAAACTGTATATGTATTCAATAAGATTCAAAAAGTTATTAAATATATTTAATAGAAATAAACCAGTTCAAATTACAGTAAAAACAAAAGCAGATGAAATTAAGACAATTCATATTGGCCCATAAAACCAAAAAGGAGGCTAAAATAACTTAGCATAAAAACAAAGAGCTTTGCCCATAGTAACAGCTTTGCGGTTTTTGTTTTTTTAAAAAAGATATTAGTGGCTCTCTTGAAGTTTAAGAGCTGTTTCTGGCTGGGATTCAGTCACATGCCGGCAATCTTAGGCTGTGCAATTATAGTTGTTTGGGAGTCTTGTTCAGTAAACCTAATACCCCAAAAGATTGGTTTTGCAATAAGCAAGGGATGGGAAGATGCACTGGAAAAGGTGGGATAACACTTTGACCTCGATGCAAATGAATCAGAATGGCACACCCCCCCAAAAAAAACCACAACCAGGTTGTCTAGAAGCAGCCTAAGACAGAAGGAACAGACCAAATTTCTGTAGTTCATGGTACTGTAGGATATAGGTGGATGCTGGTACTATATATGGGATTTTCTTGCGAGGGAGGGGCAGAGTGTCTCTCTTGCAGAAGATAACGGGTCGTTTTCCTCATAGCCATACGCAGAAAAACTTTGTCTTTCTGCCAGATGGGGGAAAGGATTCCAGCCTTGATGGGAGTTTGCCAAATGGGACCAGGATATAAAAACTCAAAACATCCCATTTTTAAACAGAAAAAGGATGTGGGGAGGGGGGGAGCACCAAGATTTTACAAAGCAGGTCTTCCTGCAACCATAAGAATTTCCTGTAAAGTCATGCTCCAGTCCAAGAAATTCACTGTATTTATTGTATTTAAAATGAGTCATCCCCCCCTCCCTCCGGTTCTACCATGTAACAGCTTACAGGTTAAAACCCAATTAAAACAAATTAAAATTGATTAATTGTAGGAGTTGAAGGCTGCGGTCAAATACACACTTAATCTAGGAATAAGTTGGCTGAATTCAACAGGACTCTGAGTAAACATGCATAGGATTGTGCTGTATGTATTTAATGACAGTGCAATCTGCGATTTATCTACTCAGAAGCAAGTTCCATCGAGTTCAGTGGGACTTATCCCCAGGTTAAGTGGCTATAGGATTCCAGTGGCTTATTTTCCACATATTCCCCTGATTTCACAGAAAGGACAAATTGCTTCCTTTTAAAGAGGTTTCCTGCCATCTGCAGTTTTTAATAAGCACCGCTGTAAAACAATTTTAGGGGGGAAAACAGAACAAAAAAATCTGTTGTCTGGTTAATTGGGGGCAACCCTTTGGTCGATAAACATGTTTTGCATTGATAACACCAGTGAAATCAGCCAACCGCACGTGACAGCTCTAGTTGTAATGCACTTTGCTGTTCAAGAAATACGACAACAAATACTTACGCTCACAGGGAAGTTAAGTGCTCTCCCAAAGAGACAGGCTTAAGTCCAGAACTCTGCTGGGAGGCAGGATAGCCCCAGCTCGAAATCATCTCTGGCAGGTTAGCCTTGCGAAGATGAAGATGCTGCAAATCCCATTTGGGAACTGATCGGCTCTCACAATTTAGGAAATCCTTTCTGAGCTATTCAGCTTAGAGGTGCAGCACCGAAATAAATTCTTGCACTCCCAGCCCTCCGCCTATAATGCAAAGGCAAAGGCTGCATTGGCTAGCATGTAAATTCGAGGTTTGGTTTGAAAAAAACAACCACCACTTTCCGTCTCGCATTAGAAACGGTCGCGCATGTACACAAATAGATCCGAAGGCTTGCCTCTAGTGAGCTTGCGGCAGAGGTGAGATTTGAAATGAGGTCTCCTCAGCTCAGTCTCAGCCGCTATGCTGCACCGCACCGCTGTGGCTATTTACAGGCGCATGTAAGAAAACGCTTTGCAAGCATAATAGCTCTATGCACACAGGTCCCAAGTCTTGGACTGCCTACACCAAGGGTAGCCAAAGTCGTTGATGGACTCCAACTCCCATCAGCACCAGCCAGCATGGACAATGGGCATGGAGGATAGACTCTGAAGCAGAGTTTAATCTCAAGGTTGTGGGTTCGAGCCCCATCTTGGGCAAAAGATTTCTGCATTGCAGGGGGTTGGACTGGATGATCCTGAGGGTCCCTTCCAACTCCACAGTTCTATGGGCACAGTTCTGCCCATCACTTGCTACCTGTCCCTCTTAACTGGAGATTTATTTGTTGTTGTTATTATTACTTTTACCCCATGATCCTCTGAGGAGGTCAGGGTGCATACACGCTTCTTCCACCACCATCCCTTTTCATAGCTGTCAACTTTTCCCTTTTCTTGCAAGGAATCCTATTCGGAATAAGGGAATTTCCCTTTAAAAAAAAGGAAACGTTGACAGCTATGTCCCTTTTGTTGCATTTAATCCTCACAACAGCCCTGTGAGGGAGGTCGGGCTGAGAGACAGGGTCAGGCCCAAGGCTACCTAGCAAGTATGACGGCCAAGTGGGGGTCTGAACCTGGATCTCCCTGGTCCTAATCCAAACGCTCTGCCCACTATACCATACTGCCAGGGAGTTGAGCTGGGGGTCTTCCGCATGCATCGCATGTACTCTGCAACTGAGCTAGGAACCCTGTACTCATGGCATGGATCTGCACTGGCATTCATCCTGCACATGGGACCCTCTGGGTCTAGCCCCACAGCCAAAATGGGTCGGGAATTGGATGCAAGCTAGTGGCAGCAATTGGTTGGAGCTTTTAAGTTTGGGCAGGCCGAGGGGAAAGGAGGTTTATAAAATTTTGCGTAGCATGGAGGACGGACAGGACAGGGAGAGCCAAGGTGGCACCTTTGATATGCTGCAGGGCTCCAGCTTGTGAGGAAGGAGGGGTGCCCAAGACAGTGTTTCCTGAGGTTGCCAAACATACACACATCAGTAGAGGGGAAGCAGGCAGAAGGTCTAAACCAGGGTTTCCCAAACTTGGGCCACCAGCTGTTTTAGGACTACAAATCCCATCATCCCTAACCGCTGGTCCTGATAGCTAGGGATGATGGGAGTTGTAGTCCCAAAACAGCTGGCAGCCCAAGTTTGGGAAACCCTAAACAGAATGCAAAATAAGGCCAAGCACTGCGGCGCTAAGACTGAACTAATCCTAGTCTATTCACTACATTCGCCCAAGTTCGGTATCCTAGAACTGCAGAATTGGAAGGGACCACGGGGGTCATCTGGTCAACCCTCTGCAATGCAGGTTTCAGACATGGGTCCCTCCCAGCCCTACCTGGAGATACCAGGGATTGAACCCGAGGCCTTCTGCATGCAAGGCAGATAGATGTGCTTTCTGGACAGTTGGGACATACCCTGCTTCTGGGTTTCTTGCAAACGCACCCTTTCAACTCTCCGATTCAGAGGTTAGCGACAAGATGGAAGACTTTGGCTGGCTGTCTGCCTCTCTCTGTCTCCCAATTTCTCTCTCTCTCTTGCATACACAACCATTGTTGAAGATGGGGAAGATAGCAATGTGCTAACCTGCCCTTCCTCCACGCTTTGCGGCTCCCCACAGCTTATTTTTAGCAATGCACACAAGGTGTAAGCAAAATGTCTGTGTGTGTGTGTGTGTGTGTGTGTGTGTGTGTGTGTGTGTATTTGTGTGTTGCAAACACAGGTTGTGCAGCAGGGCCCTGAACAATTGTTATTTGCCTCCTTCCCCCAACCTCAACCACAGAGCACCATTTGCTTAAACACACATGCTTGGCTGGCCAGGGGCAGAACAGACCTGACCTCGAAGTGTTGTGAGGACCAACAGGAAAAGGAAGACAGGGGTGGGTGATTGGGTGGGATGGATGACAACCCTTCCCCACTGCATTTCACAGAAATTGTAGAGTTGGAAGGGACCCTGAGATTCATCTAGTCCAAGCCCCTGAAATGCAGGAATATGACGCTGTCCCATACGGGAGTCGAACCTGCAACCATGGTGTTATCAGCAGCATGCTCTAACCAGCTGAGCTATCCCCTCTCCCTCTCCCCCAAGCCACACAACTCCAATGATTGGGGGAGTATATGGGCATGCCTCCCCCAGTTCTACTGCAAGTTTAACAGCCACTTGGGGGTGAAAAGGGTGGCTCCAATCAAAATGGAAGCTCCCCAACATCAGTTCAAAGTGAAAAAAAGAAAGTCAGGAGGCCCAGTCACAGGACTTCAGCATCTCCTCTGCGTCAGACCCCAGAAGCTAGTTTGCTCTGCCGATTTCAAATCAATACAGACTGATGCACACAGTGTGGATTTGTACAAGACACGCCATCATTGTGTTCCAAGCCAGCCCTCCGGTTTGAAGTTATTGCCAGATATTGTATTTGCTAGAATCTAGGACAGGCACGCGGGTGGCGCTGTGGGTCAAACCACAGAGCCTAGGCCTTGCCGATCAGAAGGTCGGCAGTTCGAATCCCTGCGACGGGGTGAGCTCCCGTTCCTCGGTCCCTGCTCCTGCCAACCTAGCAGTTTGAAAGCACATCAAAGTGTAAGTAGATAAATAGGTACCACTCCAGCGGGAAGGTAAACGGCATTTCCGTGCGCTGCTCTGATTCGCCAGAAGCGGCTTAGTCATGCTGGCCACATGACCAGGAAGCTGTACACCGGCAGCGAGATGAGCGCCGCAACCCCAGAGTCGGCCACAACTGGACCTAATGGTCAGGGGTCCCTTTACCTTTACCTTAGGACAGGCATAGGCACACTCGGCCCTCCAGATGTTTTGAGACTACAATTCCCATCATCCCTGACCACTGGTCCTGTTATCTAGCGATGATGGGAGTTGTAGTCCCAAAACATCTGGAGGGCCGAGTGTGCCTATGCCTGATGTAGGAGATGCTAAGGATGCAGGTGAGAGAGAGCAAGGAAGAGACAGGAAAGGTTGGACAGAGATGGAGACACTAGGCAGATACGGATGTGGGATGGGGAGGGCATTGCCCTTCACATGTTGCTGGACTCCAACTCCCATTAGCCCCAGCCAGCATGATGGGAATTGTAGTCCAAGAACAAGTTCTCCGCTAATGAAAGCGTAATGCTGGTGGTCAACAAAAGAGGTTTAAAGACTGTCTCAAGGCAAATTTTTTAAAAAAAGGTAGTATAAACACTGGCAACTGGGAAACACTGGCTTGCGAGTGCTCCAGTTGGAGAACAGCCTTTACCAAAGGTGTCGTGGGCTTTGTAGACACTCGAACTCGGGACACAAGGGAGAAACGTGCTAAGAGGAAGGCACGCTTGGCAAATCCACACTGTGATCAACTCTCGCCTGGAAACCAATGTCCCCACTGTGGAAGGACGTGTGGATCCAGAATTGGCCTGTCACTTACAGTCACTCAGAGACTCATTGCTAAAACTGTGTTTATGGAAGACAATCTTACTCGGCTATGAGGGATCGCCAAAGAAGAAGACACACACACTCCCTAAAGAGAGCACAGGAAGGTGAACAAAGCAAAGAAGTCAGGTGCAGTTCTATGGTTCCTACACTAAGCTGCTCCAGCAAGGGATAACTTGACTTTTGTTGCCCGTGAGTAGACTGGGAATTATTCCTTGGTTGGTTGCAGATAATAAGGCCCTTCCCATGCCGTTTAAAGAAGAAAACACCACCACCACTAGAATTTTATCCTTGCCACAGAATTTGCACCAGCCCCAGTCTTGCGGCAGCTACTCATGTTGGTCTCTTTCCCACCCCTGCTCCCAGTCAACGGAGACATGCAACGCATCCCTGGGAGGTTGTATGATGTGGAGCAGCCTGCACTCAAAAGGAAGGGAAAGGATAAAATGGGACAAGGTAGGGATTAGTCGGAGATACAGGGCCTAAAGAGATGGAGCCAGGATGAGCTCTAACAGGCGTGGGAAACAACGGGCCCTCCAGGTGTGGCTGAACTACAACTCCCATAATTCCTGGCCTTGCCTGCTGGGGTTGATGGGAGCTTCAAAACAAAAAACCAAAACTTTTCTTATTTCGATCAAAGCAGCGATACTGGAGAAGGGGGTATTAACCTCTTCCCACCCCACCCCACCCACAATGTTCCTGAAATGAATTACACTCCTAAACCTGGTATTAGCCTTGCTAGGGGTAATTAATACTGAACAAACACACAAATAGTTTAATTATACAGGAACCTGTATCATTCTTACATCATTTCCCTCTGTGAGGATAATAGATCATGGAGGGGAGTGATTTAGAGCAGGAAAATAGAATGGGGGGGACGGACAGATGCTTTTTTAAAAGTAAAACAAATTGGGGGAAAGAGAGATTCAGGATTTTTTAAAAATTTAAATAAGTTTTTTTTATTTAAATCGGATTTTTAAAATAAAATGCTTTCTAAAGATAGCTATCTATTTAAGTTACATTATAGTCCAAAGGCTATTAATCAGGAAATAAGGATTTGTTTTAAGTTTTTCATATGTGCTAAAACTCAGTCTAAGTTTTGTTGTTGTTGTTTT